AGAGAGAGAGAGAGAGAGAGAGAGAGAGAGAGAGAGAGAGAGAGAGAGAGAGAGAGAGAGAGAGAGAGAGAGAGATTATGACATGAGAGAGAGAGATTATGACATGACAGAACTCACAGCCTACATGTCTGCAACAATCGTCTTTCAATTGAAGTGTGAGAGCAGTATGCGTCTTTATGCAACCATAGGACTCTCCGCATACACTTGTGCAACAATCATCTTTTCATTCCATACATAACCCACCATTCAACCGAAGGTCTTCCTTCCCTACACAAACATGTACCTCACCGACGCAGGCACGTAACGTCCTCCACCCTATGTAGAGATCGAATCATCGGAATCAGCAATGTCTTGATGCAAACCAGAGGAGCTTAGTCTCCCCTGCAACTCTCGTTAAACCACCAGTACCCCAGGGGGTCTTAGGCCCCCTCTGGGCTCTGAAGCAAATGCATATAGACCCGTGCTGCGCACCGATTCAGCCACCGCGTTAACGGCCTGAGAACGTGGAGTTACCGGAGGTTTAAACGACCAGTACCTCCGAGGCTATTTTTCCCGAAGCAGATTTGCACTGCACACCAAAAAGTAAAAACGAGCGGCGGACTTCTTTTCTGTTTCGGCTGGAGCTGCCAGCCATTCTGGTCGGGTGGCACTGTTCATCCAAAGACAACCCGGATCGGCTCAATTTCGATTCTCACGTTTGCCTGGGCGAGGTACTGGTCGTTCAAACTGGAGAAAACAATGTCCCGACAGCTATGCAGAGCATACTCAGGACTTTTTTGGCATGATTTCTGGAGACGATTGCGGTCAGATACATCCAAGGCACGACCAAATTGTGGTCAGATGCATGCATCCAGGGACATCGTAGTGTCTAATCAAGGCAGCAAATACAACCGCTGCTCTGAAAAGCACGATGGCGCAAAAACCAGCGATTCCAAACCGCGTCCCCCCCCCCTTCTTTAACTCCCATATAGCGCCGCTGTATGCTCCACCATAGGTATTCCGTACGAAAAGAAGGCAGTGCTAGTTTATGCCATGCCTTGCATGGTCGTATCTTTCTGCAAATGTGACCAGATTCTGCCAAGTTTTCTCGGCTTTGGATGATGGCCAATGCGAGCCAAGCTGCCACAGCACAGAATAGCCCGACACGGCGACAAGCTTCATCATCTCACCACCTGTGCTCATGCTAACATCCGTAGTCTCCCCCCCGCCTTGCAGACTTGAAAACGAAACGACACACTACTACTATGAATCACCTATCGCTGAAACAGCGTGGCGAAATAGCAGCAGCCGCCTCCTTTTTCTGAACTGCAGGTCGTTAAAAATGCCTGCCGATGGGCGAGAGCTGAAAAGCGCAGCCATCACCCCGTCACTCCTACCTGCCAAACTACAACGAAGCGGCAAGTAAGCGCTACTAACTTTCGAAGCTCAACTACTCTTTACGGCTGCTGCACACGGAGACGATACTGCAGAAATGAGACGATCTGCTAATGATCATCCAATACTGGGCTCTGCATTCAGTTGGCCAGCGCAGTGCAGGTACGAGGTTGATGGTAGGTATGATGACCGTTCGTTGCGTACTTTCTGCTATCCTGAAAGAGGGAGGGAAATAAAGCCTTTCGACATGCAGTGCAGCGGAAGGAAGGAACACGAGCCGCCTACACCTCCACCGTCTCATCCTGGTTCAACCCTGGCAAGAGATGAGTCAGACAGAGTTTCTGTCCTGAGCCCGGCCGAGAGACGACAAAGGTCGTGCCGTAAGAAAGCTGGCAGTCAAGACCTATTCCTTTACTTTCCTATTCAAGAAAGACACGTGCATGTTCGTACAATGCTTCTAGAATCTTCATTCTTCTTGAGACACTTCACTGCTAGCAAAAGCTTTCCCACCCTTCCAGTGACGACATAACTACGGTGCCGCTGGCTGAACTCGCTCAAAGAAATCACAAGTACCACCCATGTGCTCTGGAAGGAGGATCTCCCCATGACGCCGTCTTCGACGTCGTCTTCTCCTCTGCAAGATATGTGTCCACGCGACACTTCTAAACATGGTGCTTCTGCGAAACGCACATCAACCCTAGCCAAAACTTCCTCTCCCTTGAAAAGAAAAAAAGTGACGTTGCGACTACGATTGTGTTGGCCGAACTCGCTCAAAGAAATACAAGTACCCCATGTCCTTTGGAGGATCCCCTGATGCCGCGACCTTCGAATCGTTGAAGATCACCCACCTTCCGTCCTTCACAATGTGACATACGTAATGTCCGACTTGTGTAGACGATCCCATGTGGCTGATAAATGCCATCAGCTTGTACTCTGTTCCAGCAACCGAGAACACAACCGCACAACAAGCATCACTTTTTAAGACGGCAAAAAGCGCCAAAGGCCCAAAACCAAACAAAAAATGAAAACATTTATGCAGGATAACTCATAGACACCCCATGGCACATCGAACTACACAGCGAGATGTGACAAAGGGGAAGCAACAAGAAGACGTACTCTGTTCCAACAACCGAGAATACAGCACAAGAGACATCACTTTTTGAAGTCGGGGAAAAGCGCCAATAACAAACAAAAGGGATGCGTTTACGCAGCATACCTCAGAGTCACCCCATTTCACATCGAAGTCAACAGCGAGATATGACAACGGGGAAGCAACGACAAGACGTGCTCTGTTCCACGCAACCAAAAACCACGGGACAAGGGGGAAACGGACAAAGGGCATGCATCATCCATACCCAAGGCACACGTACAAATGGTCACACAAGGCGAAAAGTGCCTACAAATTGACAGTGCATCCTGTTGACGTCAGCAGCAACAACGGAAGTACATGAAGATGTCGACCTTGTAGACCATCGCCAAGACCAGGTACGTGCCCTCACATCATCAACCTCATCTTTCTCTCTCAACCTTTACTTCATCAGCCACGGCTTCTTCCTCAATAACACGAAGACCTCCACCACCTCCCACTGGCTATCCAAGCCCAAGCCCGGCTACATGGGCTGGGCTATGGCGCTGCCCTCAGCAGCACCCTGCCTCTCGCATGACCGCACACGTGCACTTCTACACTGGCGCTAGCAGCAGCACGTGAGCGCTCGCTCCAGCAGCGCTGCCACCCGCTCTACCAAGCGGCCCCATCCCCATGCGGAAGCCCTACCCTTTCCTATACGGAAAGTGGCGGGCGCATCCCACTTGCTTGCCCCGTGAGACCGAGTTTCCAGTAGCTTCAGTCTCAGCCAAAGTGTCTGCGCCCAGGCCCGTTCCGACAGTGGCCTGTGACCGATTTGGTTACTAGGCATGTCCACCCACCCAGGCACAACGTGCGGTGTGCCCTGCTTCAACCACGTTGCTGGAAGAGCCTGGAAGGCTCACAAATATTTCCGATTCTCGCGGGCAAAGCGGATGTAGCAGCCAACTGGTGCGTGGCAACTGTCTGCCGCCCACCAAGATTTGCAAAAATCGACGAGTTCCGGCCACATTGAAATTCAGGGGCCCGCCTGCCTTCACGTAGGGCGGGCACGCGCCTGCTGCAGGGCCTTATGCCGAGGGGTGAACCCTCAAACACAAGAAACATTGCTTTACTTCCAGCAAAAGCTGCCGAAAACAAACAAAAGCTAAGTCTTCACGTAGGCGGGCACGCGCCTGCTGCAGGGCCAACTACATATTTGCCACAACTCTTTTTTTTTTTTTTTTGGTGCCAAAACTGTTTCAAATTTCCAATGAATCAAATATTTATCCAAGTGCTCGTGGCTGCATGGTGCACACATATAACTGTTGAGGAACAGTCGAAATTTGAATTTAGTTAGTAGTAGTAGTAGTAGTAGCAGTAGTAGAAGAAGAAGAAGAAGAAGAAGAAGAAGAAGAAGAAGAAGAAGAATTTAGTTAGTAGTAGTAGTAGTAGAAGAAGAAGAAGAAGAAGAAGAAGAAGAAGAAGAAGAAGGAGGAGGAGGAGGAGGAGGAGGAGGAGGAGGAATTTAGTTCGATACAGTAATGCTTGGGGTTAGCTAAACCCCATTTTTTTGGAAGAAGAAGAAGAAGAAGAAGAAGAAGAAGAAGAAGAAGAAACTTCAAAAACGGACATAACATTTGTTGAGGTTCTGTTCCGAGCCAAGGCTCGTGGACACTTACTTCCTGGTCCATCTCGCATATCTTCGGCAGCGGGAACTCTCTGCCGCTGGGCAGGCGCGTTCCCGGCGTCCGCAGCAGCCCTGTTTGAAGCATCGATTTCCATGGCTTCCACATCTGGATGGCTGAACACCCACTCCGCGGCTCTCTCAACATCTCCACCCTGAAATTTTGTCCACATTTATATGCACGATGACAATCCAAACCACCCAAGAGTCAAACCCTGTGGGGTGTGCGTTTCAAACTATTACCACAACTGCCTCTTTTCCACACCACCACATGAGAAGCGCTGTGTGTGTGTGTGTATCCGTATGTGTGTGTGGGTTGTCATGTTGCTATACACACCTCCACAAAAAGGGCATGACTGTGCCAGACTGCTCTGTCCAACTTTCATCGACTCATCAGGAGGTTGATGAGTGTGTGTGCGTGCTTGCGTGTGTTGTTGTGGTCGCTACACACAACTCCACAAAGAAAAACAATACTGTGCCAGACTGTTCTGTTTCACTGGACTTCTAACAACTCATCACGTGTGTGTGTGTGTGTGTGTGTGTGTGTGTGTGTGAGCTGTCTCTTATACACATCTAGATGTGTATAAGAGACAGACAAGGGGCTGTGACAAACTGTTTCGTCGGAGTTTCTTTTTTTTTAATCTCAAATTTGGTAACGAATTTCAATATGACCCTGAGGCAAAAGTGTTTCGGTTTATTTTTCCGCATAACATTTTTTTTTTTTCAGAGTTTTTTGAATTTTTTTTTTTGCTTTTTTTCCGTACGTACGGCCCGTACGACCACATGAGCCCGTACGTACGGCCGTACGTTCGTACGTACGGCCCGTATTCGTACGGGGGTCTACACAGCAGCAGACTGCGGAATGTGGGGTCTGGAGGGAGTGCCATTGCTACGTACTACGTAGTAATAACTGTGACCTAACGTTCAAATGTCCTGCGTTAGAGGGGGGTATTAAACCACCAGGGCCTAGCTTGAGGTTGGATTCCAACCCAAGTTCCTCTGGTCTCTGTCTGTTGTTTTGTCATGCTGTTTTCTTTCTCAGGGGTTTGATCCCCTGTCGGCCTTTTGGTCCCCTGCCGGCCTTTTCGCCCGTGGTAAACGAAACTGGGTAATGCTCCCAGCAGTCACTTTCCTGGGTAGAGTCTGTGAGTCCCCCCGCCTCAACCGTTATTTGGAAATGAAAATGTTTTTTTTTTTTTTTTTTTGGGGGGGGGGGGGGGGGGACATAAAAAAAAATGCACACCCCCATCAGCCAATCTCTGACACATGGTCTACGTCAGAAATAATTACGATTTCCGATTTCCCAACAGTTCTTCCGTTCCCAATGAACCAAGCCTAAAAACGCAACCCGGTTCATTTACACAAACATCACTATACTGACATGCACGCCACGTCCTCACAATGGTCTCACACACACGTGGTGGGTGTGAGAAATCGTTCTGATTTTCAATTTACGTTTTTTTTAACTTTTTTTACGTTAACACGGTTCTTTGTTTTCGAATGAACTGAGAGCTTAAAACACGAGCAGGTTCATTTACACAAAGATTGTAACATCTGAAAGGCACACCACGCCCTCTCAACGTCTGACAACATTCTCGGTGTCAGAAAGATTTCGCTTTCTGATTTTCCAATACCCGCGAATGCACCTTCCCCAAACAATGACCGTGTTCATCCCCACCACAGTAAAAGGTCTGAACGCCCCCACCTCGTACCAGACCAACTCTGACAGATGGTTATCATGACTGTCGATTCTGACAATCTCGGAAAATCTCTGACATTCGCAGAAGCTCTCTCTCCTGTCACTGAGAGTTTTCTCGGCACGGGCCAGGTTGGATAGGGCAGAGTGTTTCAGAGCCCGCGGCTGATAAACTTTAATGGTATAGGGAACATATGATGAGGCGATGAGAAGACGGGAACATATCAATTCATGAGTTGTATGGCAAACACGACAGCATTCCATAATGCCAGTCACTGATATGCAAATCACATTTTGAAACGAATTACCCACGACTTCCAATGTGTGTGTGTGTGTGTGTGTGTGTGTGTGAGAGAGAGAGAGAGAGAGAGAGAGAGAGA